TTTAATTCTTTTAGTTAAATATATAATATATTTTTTTAGTAAATGACTTTTTGACAATATGACTCTAAATATGATCATATTATTTATTTTATAATATGTAATATGATTTCAAACTAAATAATGATGTATTTTGGTATAAAATTGAATAAACTGAAAACCAATATATAAACCAAATCAAACTGAAGTAAATATGGATTTAAAATAGTAGTTATATTTTAATAACCAAAATACGGAAACCCGATATCCAGATTGAACATTCTTAATCTAGATGAAACCGAACTTTTGTTTCATTTTCCAAAACATAATAAAAATAATAATTTCATCCCGCGCAAGACGCGGATCTTATCCTAGTAATACTATTAAGCTGAAAAGCCAACGGAGTAGAGACGAGAAAGCGAGATGATGAGACTTCGTCTAAAGTGTTAGATTTATTTGAGATCCAAAGCTTGATATGACGAACCTTCCTTTGTCCTTACACGAATGTTTCTGTTAGTCCCAGTTTCTTTTAGTCCCAGTTTCTTACCGAGTCAATGACCTAATTCAGTTTGTTTACTGACATTAACACATGAAAGGTCAGTTATCCTTTGAAAAATTAGGCAATAAAATTCTGAAATTATATTCTCTTTTAGTTCATTGCTAAAGACGGAGTTTACCATCAATTATCTTTAAGTAAAAAAGAAAAAAGAAATCAAAACAAAAATGTAGACGTAAGAAAGACTAGAAAGGCTCTCTGTCAAAAAGAACCATAAAGAGGTTCTCTAGGCCCATTGTCAATTATGTAGAAGTAGATATAAGCAAGAAGACACATATGATCCAGTAAAATATGTTGACTAATGTATCCACTATTACATTTGTACTTCATTAAGAAAATAATACTTAGTTTAACCTGCTCGTCTGAGTGAATGTATATTTTACTAATTTATATTTTATTTATATATTATATAAATTAAATATTCATATTTTCTAATTTAAATGAATATAGGTTCATATTTATATTTTGATCATGGTTTTGATCTATGTATATGTTAATATTTATAAGAGCATAAAGATGTAAAAATCATTATTTTGAACATGATTTTTAGTTCGTATATTTTTATCATGTTTTTTACCTGTGTATTTTATTTAAATAGATCATAAAAAGATAAGATTATAAATACATATATAAACTAAATCAAAGATGCATTAAATCGGTTATAGAATTGTATTTATAGATAAGCTAAATTATAAAAAAAATATTTATTTTTCCCTCTATAAAAAGGAATGAGCACAATTTTTTAACAAATGATTCATTTTTTAATAGTATAAAATATTCTTAAAATATTGTGTATGTCAAAAATAATAGTTTGTTAAGAACAAAAATAGTATTATTCGAAAATATGCAAACATTTAACAATAACTCTTAAGACAATACACATAAAACACTAAATAAAAAATTTATTTTAAATTTGATAAACAGTTATAGTGGTATATTTAATATATTTATATTGGTGAGAATAAAAATTTATACAGAACAAAGGAAAAAGAAAAAAAATATTACGTTTGGAGAAAATTATCATAGAGACAAATGTAACTATACTATTACATAAATATTTTATTTATATTATTGATGTGTATTGATGTTAATAGTATTGATGTGATGTAGTTAAAAATTTTATATAGCTATGCAATATATAAATTAATTTAGAAATATTTTCTTAATTTTAGAAAAGATATGAAAAACATAAAATTAGGAATAATTGTTATTATATTAATTTTGGAAAAGACAAAATATCCATAGATAAAGCTTCATTTAATACATCAGTGGCATGACTACGTAAATATTGTGAAAAACTAAAAGATAATCTAAAATTGTACACCATTTTTAATAAATTAGAGGGATAATCGCATAAAATTTCAGAAAAAATGGCATGTAATGAGACTTTAAATCTTGAAGCTTTTTTTACTAGCACTTTAAACTTTCAAAATGCTATTTGTGTCATGAAAAACATTCAGCTTGGCGTACTTGTTCATCAAGTAAAAAACTGACATGTACATGTCGGTGTGATGATGTGTCAGTGTTTTTTCAAAAATAATAATGATTTAATTAATAAAATAACTAAAAATATAATAAAAATAAAAAACTAAAAATCAGAAAACTAAAATAAAATTCGGAAATTAAAATAAAACTTTCCAAAATAAAAAATATCAGAAAATTAAATTAAATTTCAAAAATATATTAGATTAATTGAAATACAGAAAATTGAATAAAAAATATTAAACTAAAATACAGAAAATTAAATTAAATACAGAATATTAATTACAATACAGAATATTAAATGAAAATAAAGAATATTCTTTAATATTAAAATTAAAATATTAGTTAATATTATTTATTTTCATTTAATTTTCTGCCTTTTAATTAATATTCTGTATTTTATTTAATTTTATGCATTTTAATTTAATATTCTTTATTTTATTTCTGTATTTTAATTTAGTCATATTTATTTTATTTTCTGTATTTCAATTAATCTAATATATTTTTTTAATTTAATTTAATTTTCTGATATTTTTTATATTGGAATATTTTATTTTGTTTTCCAAATTTTTATTTTAGTTTTCTTATTTTATAGTTTTTATTTTTAATTTAATTTTATTTATTTTCTTAATTAAATAATTATTATTTTAAACAAAATTGTCACATCATCACATTAACCTTGCTGTACATGTCTGTTTTTTACTTGATGAACAAATAAGTCAAGATGAAAGTTTTTATAACACAATTGCCATTTTAAATGTTTAAAATGATAGTCCAAAAATTTCAAGGTTTAAAGTGTTAGTACGCGCCACTTACAAAGTTTTTTATGTCATTTTCCCATGAATTAGATGATTGGTATGAAAAAATCATTTAAACTAGCTACATGTCTTTATATATGTAGACTGATCGAAGCAAGGCAACTCAGTGTATGATAAA